GGCCTAGGCCACAGGCCACAAACACTGAAGCCACAGGCCACTGAAGCGCTGGAAGCCACTGAGCCACTGAGCCTGGGCCTGGGCCCTGAGCCTACAGGCCTGGGCCCTGAGCCCTAGGCCTAGGCCCTGAGCCTAGGCCCAGGCCCTGGGCCACAGGCCTAGGCCACAGGCCACAGGCCCTAGGCCACGAGCCACTAGGCCCTAGCCCTCGACCTGAAGCCCTCGGCCCTGCGGCCACAAACCCTGAAGCCCTCGGCCCTCGGCCCTCGGCCCTCGAGCCTCGGCCCCTGAGCCTGGGCCCTGAGGCCACTGAAGCCTGAAGCCTCGACCTGAGCCTGAGGCCTGAGGCCCTCGGCCCTGGGCCCTCGAGCCCGAGGCCACTGAGCCCTCGACCCTGAGCCTCGGCCCTCGGCCACAAGCCCTGACCCTCGGCCCTCGGCCCTCGACCCTGGCTCGGCCCTGAGCCACAGGCCCTAGGCCACCGAGCCCTCGGCCCTCGAGCCCCTGAGCCCTCGACCCTCGAGCCCTCGACCTGGCCCCCAGCCCTGAGCCTCGACCCTCGAGCCTCGGCCCTGAGCCCTGAGCCCTCGGCCCTCGACCTCGGCCACTCAAGCCTCGGCCCTCGACCCTCGACCTAGAGCCCTGAGCCCTCGAGCCCTCGGCCCTCGGCCCTCGAGCCCTCGGCCCTCGACCTGAGCCACTGGCCCCCAGGCCACAAACCCTGAGCCTCGAAGCCTCGACCTCGAGCCACAGACCCTGAAGCCACTCGGCCACAAGCCCTGAGCCCTCGACCTCGGCCCTCGACCCTCGACCCTGAGCCTAGGCCACTGAGCCCCTGAGCCCTCGAGCCACCAGGCCCTCGACCTGAAGCCCTCGACCCCTGAGCCCTCGAGCCCTGGAGCCACTGAAGCCACTGAGCCCTCGGCCACTCGAGCCATGAGCCCTCGAGCCCTCGGCCCTCGGCCACAGAGCCTGAAGCCCTCGGCCACTCGGCCCACGACCTGAGCCCTCGACCCTCGGCCCTGGGCCTCAGGCCACTGAGCCCTGAGCCCTCGGCCCTCGACCTGCGGCCCTAGGCCACAGGCCATGAGGCCTGCAGCCCTCGAGCCCTCGGCCCTCGACCCTCGAGCCTCGGCCCTGAAGCCCTGACCTGAGCCACAAGCCACAAGCCATGGGCCCTAGGCCACGGCCTGAGCCTGAGCCCTCGAGGCCACTGGCCACAACACCTGAGCCTAGGCCTGACCCTGGGCCACAGGCCTAGGCCCTGGGCCACCGAGCTGAGCCTAGCGAGCCTAGGCCACTAGACCCTGAGCCTGAGCCCTGAGCCTGAGCCACAGGCCTAGGCCTAGCCTGAGCCACAGGCCACTGAGCCACTGAGCCACTGAGCCCAGGCCACTGGGCCACTGAGGCCCTAGCACGGCCACAGGCCACTGAGCCCTGAGCCCCAGGAGCCTGGGCCCTAGGCCACAGGCCACAGGCCCAGAGCCCTAGGCCACAGGCCTAGGCCTGAGCCTAGGCCACAGGCCAGCCTAGGCCACAGGCCCAGGCCACTGAGCCCCAGAGCCCTAGGCCACCAGGACCTAGGCCTGAGGCCCTAGGCCACAGGCCCCAGCCACTGAGCCCCAGGCCACTGAGCCCCAGGCCACTGGTGAGCCTGGGCCACTAGGCCACAGGCCCCAGACCCAGAGCCCTAGACCCCAGACCCCAGGCCCTAGGCCACAGAGCCTGAGCCCAGGCCCTAGGCCATGAGCCCTAGGCCACAGGCCCTGAGCCCCGAGGCCACTGGGCCACAGGCCCCAGAGCCCAGGCCCTAGGCCTGAGCCCAGGCCACAGCTAAGCCCCAGGCCCCAGACCCTAGAGCCCAGACCTGAGCCACAGGCCCTGACCCTAGACCCCAGACCTAGACCCACAGGCCTGAGCCCTGAGCCCTGGGCCTGAGCCCCAGGCCACAGACCTGAAGCCCCAAGCCCTGAGCCACACGAGCCCAGGCCACAGAGCCCCAGACCCAGAGCCCTGAGCCACACAAGCCTGACCCAGACCCCAGACCTGGAGCCACTGAGCCCAGACCCCAGACCCTAGAGCCCTAGGCCCGACCCCAGGCCCTGGACCTGAGGCCACAGACCCCAGGCCACAGAGCCTAGAGCCCCAGACCCCAGACCCCTAGGAGCCACAGGAGCCCCAGACCCCCGGGCCATGAGGCCCTGAGCCCTAGGCCACAGGCCCTGGGCCCTGAGCCCTGAGCCCGGGCCCCGGAGCCCCAGAGCCCCAGACCCTGAGCCTGAAGCCCAGACCCTGAGCCCCAGACTGGGCCACAGAGCCCCGAGGCCACAAGCCCAGACCCTGAGCCCAGGCCCTGAGCCCCAGACCCAGGCCCTAGGCCTAGACCACAGAGCCCCAGGCCACAGGCCCCAGACCCCGGACCCTGAGCCCAGAGCCACTGAGCCTGGAGCCCTGAGCCACTGAGCCCAGGCCCCGAGGCCTGAGCCCTGGGCCCCAGACCCAGGCCCTGAGGCCCCAGGCCCAGGCCCCAGAGCCCCAGGCCCCAGGCCCTAGGCCCCAGAGCCCCAGGCCACAGGCCCTGAGCCGCCCAGGCCCTGAGCCTGAGCCCCTGAGGCCCAGGCCTGAAGCCCCAGGCCCTAGAGCCCTGGGCCAGGCCACAGGCCCCAGGCCCTGAGCCCAGGGCCCCAGGCCTAGGCCACTGAGCCCAGGCCACTGAGCCCACAGGCCACAGGCCCCAGGGCCACTAGGCCCTGAGGCCACTGAGCCCTAGGCCCTAGGCCACAGGCCCAGGCCACTGAGCCTAGGCCACTGAGCCCCAGGCCCCAGGGCCATAGGCCCCGGGCCACCAGGCCACTCGAGCCCAGGAGCCCAGACCCTGAGCCCCAGGCCCAGACCCTGAGCCCACAGGCCACTGAGCCTAGGCCTGAGCCTGGGCCCTAGACCCTGAGGCCACAGAGCCCTGAGCCTAGGCCATAGGCCACCAGGCCCCAGGCCCTAGGCCCTGGGCCCTGAGCCCCGACCTGAGCCACAGGCCACAGGCCCTGAGCCCTGAGCCCTAGAGCCTGAGCCCTAGGCCCTAGGCCACTGAGCCCTCGGCCCTGGGCCCTGGGCCTAGGCCCTGAGCCCTGAGCCCTGAGCCACAGAGCCCTCGGCCCTGGGCCCTAGGCCCTGAGCCTAGGCCCTGAGCCCCAAGCCCTGAGCCCTGGGCCACAGACCCTAGGCCCTACGGCCCTGAGCCCTGAAGCCTAGACCCTAGGCCACAGGCCACTAGGCCTAGGCCACTGGGCCACAGGCCCTAGGCCACAGGCCCCAGGCCACTGAGCCACCAGGCCACAGAGCCCTGAGCCACTGAGCCCTGAGCCACTGGGCCACTGAGCCACCAGGCCACCAGGCCACATGAGCCTAGGCCCAGGCCCTGGGCCACAGGCCACTGAGCCCACCAGGCCACAGGCCACTGAGCCACCAGAGCCTAGGCCACAGGCCCTGAGCCCTAGGCCACTAGGCCACTGGCCACAGGCCCTGAGGCCACTGAGCCACAGGCCCAGGCCACTGAGCCCTGGGCCCTGAGGCCCTGGGCCCTGAGCCTAGGCCACTGGAGCCCTGAGCCACAGGCCACAGGCCACCAGGCCACTGGGCCACAGGCCACCGAGGCCTAGGCCACAGGCCACTGAGGCCTAGGCCCTGAGCCCTGAGGCCACAGGCCACAGAGCCCTGAGCCCCGAGCCCTAGGCCCTAGGCCCTGAGGCCTAGGCCCTAGGCCACTGAGCCCTGAGCCCTGAGCCCTAGGCACTGAGCCACAGGCCACTGAGCCCTGGGCCCTGGGCCCTGGGCCCAGGCCCTGAGCCCAGGCCTGGGCCCTGAGCCCAGAGCCACAGGCCCTGGGCCAGGCCTGGGCCTGAGCCCTGAGGCCCTAGGCCCAGAGCCCTGGGCCTAGGCCCTGGGCCTGGCCCAGGCCTGGGCCACACAGGCCTGAGCCACTAGGCCCTAGGCCACTGAGCCCTGAGGCCTGGGCCTGGGCCTGAGCCCTGGGCCTGGGCCCTGGGCCACTAGGCCCTGGGCCACAGGCCCTGGGCCCTAGAGCCCTGGGCCCTGGGCCCTGGGCCACTGAGCCGCAGGCCACAGGCCCTGAGCCCTAGGCCCTGGGCCTAGGCCACAGGCCACTGAGCCACTGAGGCCACTAGGCCCGAGGCCACTGAGCCTGCAGGCCCAGGCCCTGGGCCCTGAGCCCTGAGCCCTAGCAGGCCACTGAGCCTGGGCCCCAGGCCTAGGCCCTGAGCCCTGAGCCCTAGGCCTAGGCCACTGAGCCTAGGCCAGAGCCTAGGCCTGGGCCTGAGGCCCTGAGGCCACAGGCCCTGGGCCTAGGCCACAGGCCTGGGCCCAGGCCCTGAGCCATGCCACAGGCCCGAGGCCTGAGCCTGAGCCCTAGGCCACAGAGCCCTGAGCCCTGAGCCTAGGCCCAGGCCTAGGCCCTGAGCCCGAGCCACAGGCCACAGGCCACAGGCCCGAGGCCACAGGCCACAGGCCCTGAGCCACTGGCCCAGGCCACTGAGCCCGAGGCCACTAGGCCACTGAGCCACCAGGCCACTGAGCCCTGAGCCTAGGCCACTGAGCCCCAGCCACTGAGCCTGAGCCACAGAGCCACTAGGCCACAGGCCTAGGCCTAGGCCACTGAGCCACAGGCCACAGGCCTGAGCCCTAGGCCTAGGCCACTGAGGCCAGCCTAGGCCACTGAGCCCTGAGCCTAGGCCCTAGGCCACTGAGCCCAGGCCACAGGCCTAGGCCACCAGGCCAGCCTAGGCCTAGAGCCACTGAGCCACAGGCTGAGCCACTGAGCCCTAGGCCCTAGGCCCTGGGCCACCAGGCCACTAGGCCACGGCCTAGGCCCTAGGCCACTGAGCCTGAGCCCAGCAGGCCACAGGCCACTGAGGCCTGAGGCCACTAGAGCCACTAGGCCACAGGCCACTGAGCCACTGAGCCTGAGGCCCTGAGCCCTGGCCACTGAGCCCTAGGCCACTAGGCCCCAGGCCTAGGCCACTGAGCCCTGAGCCCAGAGCCCTGAGGCCACGAGGCCACAGAGCCCTAGGCCCCAGAGCCCTAGGCCACAGGCCCTAGGCCACAGAGCCCTAGGCCCTGAGCCTCGAGCCCAGGCCACCAGGCCACTAGGCCCTGAGCCACTAGGCCACTGAGCCACTAGGCCACTAGGCCACAGGCCCTAGGCCACAGGCCACCACAGGCCCTGGGCCACTGAGCCCTCAGGCCCTGGGCCACAGGCCACAGGCCTAGGCCCTGAGCCACAGGCCCTGGACCTCAGGCCCTGAGCCCTGGGCCACTGAGCCCTGAGGCCACCAGGCCACAGGCCCTCAGGCCCTAGGCCCTGAGCCCTGGGCCACAGGCCCTGGCCCTAGGCCTGAGCCCTGAGCCACAGGCCCTAGGCCTAGGCCACAGGCCACTGAAGCCACAGGCCACTAGGCCACTGAGCCCTGGGCCCTGGAGCCACAGGCCACTGAGCCACAGGCCTAGGCCACTAGGCCCTGGGCCTGAGCCCTAGGCCACTGGGCCACTAGGCCACAGGCCACTGAGCCACTGAGCCCTGGGCCCTGAGCCTAGACCACTGAGCCCAGGCCACTCAGGCCACTAGGCCTGAGCCCTGAGCCTAGAGCCTGAGCCCTAGGCCACTAGGCCTGAGCCTGAGCCTAGGCCACAGGCCACTGAGCCCTAGGCCCTAGGCCTCGGCCACTAGGCCACAGGCCTAGGCCACAGGCCACTGGAGCCCTAGGCCACAGGCCCTGAGCCCTGAGCCTAGGCCTAGAGCCCTCGGCCACTGAGCCCTAGGCCACCAGGCACAGGCCACAGGCCCTGAGCCCTCGGCCACTGAGCCCTCGGACCACTGAGCCCTCGGCCACTGAAGCCTAGGCTGAGCCACAAGCCCTCGAGCCTGAGCCCTCGACCCTGAGCCACAGAGCCTAGGCCTAGAGCCCTGAAGCCACTAGCCCTGAGCCCTCGGCCCTGAGGCCCTGAGCCCTCAGACCTCGGCCCTAGGCCACTGAAGCCTCGACCCTCGACCTGAGCCACTAAGCCTGAGCCCTCGGCCTCGAGCCCTCGAGCCACCAAGGCCTGAAGCCCTCGAGCCACTGAGCCCTCGACCCTCGACCTGAAGCCCTCGACCCTAGGCCACAGGCCACAGGCACTAGGCCACTGAGCCCTGAGGCCTGAGCCACTGAGCCACTGAAGCCCTCGGCCACTAGGCCACCAGGCCTAGGCCACTAAGCCACAGACCAGAGCCTCGACCTGAGCCCTCGAGCCTGAGCCCTGAAGCCCTCGACCCTCAGGCCCTCGACCTGAGCCACAAACCTGAAGCCCTCGACCCTCGGCCACTGACCCTCGAGCCCTCGACCTGAAGCCACTGAGCCACTGAAGCCCTCGACCCTCGACCTAAACCTCGAGCCCTCGACCCTCGACCCTCGGCCACTGAAGCCCTAGACCACTGAGCCACAAGCCCTCGACCTCGGCCACAGGCCCTGAAGCCCTCGACCCTGAGCCACTGAGCCCTGAGCCTAGGCCCTAGGCCCTGAAGCCCTCGGCCACTGAGCCACTAAGCCCTGAGCCCTCGACCCCAGACCCTGAAGCCACCAGACCACAGACCCTCGACCACTCGACCCTCGACCCTGAACCCTCGAGCCCTAGGCCACAGGCCCTAGGCCACTGAAGCCACCAAACCTCGGCCTCGACCCTGAAGCCCTCGGCCCTAGGCCACTGAGCCTGAGCCTGAAGCCACAGGCCACTGAGCCACTGAAGCCTCAGGCCTCGGCCCTCGACCTGAAGCCCTGAGCCCTAGGCCACACAGCCCTGAAGCCACTCAAGCCTGAGCCTGAGCCCTCGGCCACAAACCTGAAGCCACTGAAGCCACTGAGCCACTGAGCCACTGAAGCCTAGGCCCTGAGCCACTGAGCCACAGGCCACTAAGCCACTGAGCCCTGAGCCCTGAGCCCTGAGCCACAGGCCACTGAGCCCTGAGCCTACGGCCCTGAGCCTGAGCCCTGAGGCCTCGGGCCCTGGGCCTAGGCCACAGGCCCTGAGCCTCAGGCCCTGGGCCTGGGCCCAGGCCTAGGCCTAGGCCCTCGAGCCCTAGGCCCTCGAGCCCTGAGCCCTAGGCCACTGAGCCACAGACCTGAAGCCCTAGACCCTCAGGCCACTAGAGCCACAGGCCCTCGGCCCTCAGACCCCGGCCACTGAGCCCTCGGCCCTCGACCTGAGCCTGAGCCACAAGCCCAGACCCTCGGCCCTGAGCCACCGAAGCCCTAGGCCACTGAGCCACTGAAGCCCCAGGCCCTGGACCCTCGACCCTGAGCCCCCAGAGCCCTCGGCCCTCGAGCCCTAGGCCTGAGCCTGAAGCCCTCGGCCCTCGGCCCTCGGCCCTCGAGCCCTCGAGCCCTCGAGCCACTCGAGCCCTCGGCCCTAGGCACTGAAGCCCTCGACCCTCGAGCCTCGGCCACTGACCCTGAAGCCCTCGGCCCTCGGCCACAAGAGCCCTGAGCCCTGAAGCCACTGAGCCACAAGCCTGAAGCCCTCGAGCCCTCGAGCCACAGGCCCTCGACCTGAAGCCACAGACCCTGGGCCACTGAGCCACTGAGCCCTAGGCCTACAGACCCTCGACCCTGAGGCCACTGAAGCCCTGGGCCACAAGCCCTCGGCCACTCGAGCCCTCGAGCCCTAGGCCACTGAGCCACTGAGCCACTGAGCCACAGGCCCTCGAGCCCTCGAGCCACAAGCCACTGGGCCCTCGACCCTGAGCCACTGAAGCCACAGAGCCTAGGCCACTGAGGCCTGAAGCCCTCGGCCACTGAGCCTGAGCCCTGAGCCACAGGCCACTAAGCCCTGGGCCCTGGGCCACTGAGCCTGAGCCACAGCCAAGCCTGAGCCTAGGCCCTGGGCCTGGGCCCTGGCCACAGGCCACTAGGCCACAGGCCTGAGCCACTGAGCCACTGAGCCTGAGCCTCAGGCCACTGAGCCCTGAGCCACTGAGCCACTGAGCCACTGAGCCTGAGCCACTGAGCCCAGACCTGAAGCCTAAGCCCTCGGCCACAGGCCTGAGCCTAGGCCACTGAGCCTCAGACCTGAAGCCACTGAAGCCCGACCCTAGGCCACAAGCCCTCGAGCCCTCGACCCTGAGCCCTCGACCTGAAGCCACAAGCCACTAGGCCCTCGAGCCCTGAGCCCTCGAGCCCTGAGCCACTAAGCCCTCGACCCTCGAGCCACTCGGCCCTAAGCCCTCGGCCACTGAAGCCACTAGACCCTGAGCCCTCGGCCTCAAGCCTACGAGCCCTCGAGCCACCAAGCCCTGAGCCTAAGCCTCGAGCCCTCGAGCCCTCGAGCCCTCGGCCTAAGCCCTCGGCCACTGAAGCCACTGAAGCCACTAAGCCCTCGGCCCTCGAGCCCTCGACCCTCGGCCACTAGGCCACAGGCCCTGAGCCCTCGACCTGAAGCCCTCGGCCCTCGGCCCTCGAGCCACAAGCCTAGACCCTCGGCCACAAGCCCACCACGGCCCTCAGACCTCGAGCCCTCGACCCTGAGCCCTGGGCCCTCGAGCCCTCGGCCACTGAAGCCCTCGGCCACAGACCTCGGCCCTCGGCCACACAAGCCCTCGGCCACCCAAGCCTCGGCCTCGAGCCTCGAGCCCTCGAGCCTCGACCCTCGAGCCCTGGGCCACAGACCTGAAGCCCTGAGCCACTGAGCCACAGGCCCTGAGGCCACTGAGCCACTAGGCCCTGAGGCCACTGGGCCACTGAGGCCACTGAGCCACTAGGCCACCAGGCCACTGAGCCACTGAGCCCTAGGCCAGGCTGAGCCACTGAGGCCACAGGCCCTGAGCCCTAGGCCCTAGGCCACTAGGCCCTGAGGCCACAGACCCTGGGCCACTGAGCCTAGGCCCTAGGCCACTGGGCCCATGGGCCCAGGCCCTAGGCCACACAGGCCATCAGGCCCTGGGCCTAGGCCACAGGCCTGGGCCCTGAGCCACTGAGCCCCAGGCCTGAGCCCTAGACCTAGGCCACCAGGCCTGGGCCCTGAGGCCCAGGGCCACTGAGCCCAGGCCACTGAGCCCTGAGGCCACTGAGCCACTGAGCCCTGGGCCACTGGGCCCTGGGCCACAGCCCTGGGCCACTGAGCCACAGGCCACTAGGCCACAGGCCCTGAGCCCTGGGCCCTGGGCCTCAGGCCACTAGGCCACTGAGCCCTGAGACCCTGGGCCACTAGGCCTGAGGCCCTGGGCCCTGGGCCTAGGCCACTGGGCCCTGAGCCTAGCTGAGCCCTAGGCCACAGGCCACTGGCCATGAGCCCTAGGCCCTAGGCCTAGGCCTAGGCCCTGGGCCCTAGGCCCCAGGCCACTGGGCCCTGAGGCCTGGGCCCTGGGCCACTGAGGCCACTGAGGCCTAGAGCCCTGAGGCCCTGGGCCACAGGCCTGGCCTAGGCCACAGGCCTGGGCCTGGGCCCTAGGCCCTGGGCCACAGGCCATGAGCCACCAGGCCTAGGCCCTGGGCCCTGAGCCCTGGGCCTGGGCCCTGAGCCTGGGCCCTGGGCCCTGAGGCCCTAGGCCTGAGGCCCAGGCCCCAGGCCCTGAGCCCTAGGCCCTAGGCCCCAGGCCCTGAGACCTGAGGCCTGAAGCCCCAGACCCTGAGCCCTAGACCACTGAGGCCCCAGGCCCCAGGCCCTAGGCCCTGAGCCCTGAGCCCTGAGCCCCAGGCCCAGACCCTAGGCCACTGAGCCCTAGGCCCTGAGCCACAGGCCCAGACCCCAGACCAGGCCTAGGCCTAGGCCTAGGCCCTAGGCCACAGGCCCAGGCCCCAGACCCAGAGCCCCAGGCCCCAGGCCCTAGGCCCTAGGCCACTGAGCCTGGAGCCCTGAGCCACCGGGCCTAGGCCACAGAGCCCTGAGCCCCAGGCCCTAGGCCCTGGGCCCTGAGCCCCAGGCCTGGGCCCAGGCCCTAGGCCACTGAAGCCCTGAGCCACTGAGCCCCAGACCCAGACCCTGAGCCCAGAGCCCTGAGCCCTGGGCCCTAGGCCACTGGGCCTAGGCCCCAGGCCCTGGGCCCTGGGCCCTAGGCCACAGAGCCCTGGGCCTAGGCCTAGGCCCTGAGCCCTGGGCCACAGGCCACTGAGGCCACAGGCCCAGGGCCTAGGCCACTGGGCCACAGGCCCCAGGCCCTGAGGCCACTGAGCCTGACCTAGGCCCTGAGCCCTGGGCCACAGGCCACTAGGCCACTAGGCCACAGGCCACAGGCCCTAGACCCCAGGCCCTAGGCCACAGGCCACTGAGCCCTGGCACAGGCCTGAGCCTAGGCCCCCAGGCCACTGAGCCTGGGCCACTGAGGCCCAGGCCACTGAGCCACAGGCCCTGAGCCCTAGGCCCAGGCCACAGGCCCTGGGCCCTGAGCCCCAGGCCCTGAGGCCTAGGAGCCACAGGCCCTAGGCCACTGAGGCCACCCAGGCCTAGGCCACCAGGCCCTGAGCCACAGGCCACTGAGGCCACTGAGGCCCTGGGCCACCAGGCCACAGGCCACTGAGCCCTGGGCCCTAGGCCACTGAGCCACAGGCCCTGAAGCCCTGGGCCACTGAGCCCACAGGCCTAGGCCCGGACCTGAGCCCTGGACCTGAGCCCTAGGCCCTGGGCCACTGAACCCTGAGGCCACTGAGGCCTGAGCCCTAGGCCCTGAGCCACCGACCTGAGCCCACAGGCCCTGAGCCCTCGAGCCCTGAAGCCCTCGAGCCCTCGGCCACAGGCCCTGGGCCCTGGGCCCTAGGCCCTGGCCCTAGGCCCTGGGCCCTAGGCCACTGAGCCCTGAGCCCTCGACCCTGGGCCCTGGGCACCTAGGCCTCGGCCCTCGGCCACAGGCCTCGGACCTCGGCCCTGAGCCTAGGCCACTAGGCCACTGAGCCCTGGGCCTGAGCCTGGGCCTAGGCCACTGAGCCCTGAGCCTGAGGCCCTAGGCCACTGAGCCACAGGCCCTGAGCCCTAGGCCTAGGCCACTAGGCCACTGAGGCCTGGGCCACAGGCCAGCCCTGGGCCACTGAGCCACTGAGGCCTGAGCCACAGGCCACTGAGCCCTAGGCCACTGAGCCACTGAGGCCTGGGCCACTGGGCCACCAGGCCACTGGGCCCTAGGCCTAGGCCCTGGGCCACAGGCCACAGGCCACTGGGCCCTGGGCCCTGAGCCCCAGGCCACTGGGCCACAGGCCTAGGCCTGAGCCACTGAGCCCTGAGCCCTGGGCCACAGGCCTGGGCCTGGCCTGGGCCCTAGGCCACAGGCCACTGAGCCCTGGCCGAGCCACAGGCCACTGAGCCCTGAGGCCACAGGCCCTGGGCCACAGGCCACAGGCCACAGGCCACAGGCCCTGGGCCCTGGGCCATAGGCCACTGAGCCACTAGGCCCACTGGGCCACCAGGCCCAGGCCTGGGCCACCAGGCCACAGGCCACTGAGCCACTGAGCCCTGGGCCTGGGCCCTGGGCCACTAGGCCACTGGGCCACCAGGCCCAGGCCTGAGCCCTAGGCCACAGGCCCTGGGCCCTAGGCCACCAGGCCCCAGGCCACTGGGCCCTGAGCCCCCAGGCCAGGCCTAGGCCCTGGGCCACAGGCCCTGAGCCCTGAGCCACTAGGCCACCAGGCCACTGGGCCACAGGCCACTGGGCCTGGGCCACTGAGCCCTGGGCCACTGAGCCCCTGGGCCTAGGCCACAGGCCACAGGCCACTGAGCCCTGGGCCCTGAGCCCTGGGCCTAGGCCACAGGCCACTGAGCCACTAGGCCACAGGCCACAGGCCACTGAGCCTGGGCCACTGGGCCACCAGGCCACAGGCCCTGGGCCCTGGGCCCTAGGCCTGAGCCCTAGGCCACAGGCCACTGAGCCCTAGGCCACTGAGCCCAGGCCACTGAGCCCTGGGCCACAGGCCCTGAGGCCCTGAGGCCACAGGCCTAGGCCCTAGGCCCTGGGCCACTGAGCCCTGGGGCCACTAGGCCACTAGGCCACAGGCCCTGGGCCACTAGGCCCTAGGCCACTAGGCCACTGAGCCCTGGGCCACTGAGGCCCTGGGCCACAGGCCACAGGCCACTGAGGCCCTGGAGCCTGGGCCTGAGGCCCTGGGCCCTGGGCCTAGGCCCTGGGCCCTGGGCCTGAGGCCACAGGCCACTAGGCCCTAGGCCACAGGCCCTGGGCCCTGGGCCCTGGGCCTGCAGGCCCTGAGCCACTGGGCCCTGGGCCCTGAGGCCACTAGGCCACTGAGCCCTGGGCCTGGGCCACTGGGCCACAGGCCCTGGGCCCTGGGCCACAGGCCCACTGAGCCCTGAGCCTGAGCCTAGGCCACAGGCCCTGAGCCCAGGCCCTGAGCCCTGGGCCACTGAGCCCTGAGCCCTAGGCCACTGAGCCCAGGCCTGAGCCACAGGCCACAGGCCACTGGGCCTAGGCACTGAGCCCCAGGCCACTAGGCCACAGGCCACTAGGCCACAGGCCTGAGCCTGGGCCACCAGGCCCTAGGCCACAGGCCCTGGGCCACTGAGGCCACTGAGCCACAGGCCTAGGCCCTGAGCCCTGAGCCTGGGCCCTGGGCCACCGAGGCCACTAGGCCCTAGGCCACAGGCCTGGGCCCTGGGCCACAGGCCCTAGGCCACTGAGGCCCTGGGCCTGGACCTGAGCCCCAGGCCCTGGGCCCTAGGCCACTGAGCCCTGAGCCACTGAGGCCCTAGGCCACTAGGCCCAGCAGGCCCTGAGCCCTGAGCCCTGGGCCACAGGCCCACTGGGCCACCAGGCCACAGGCCCTGAGCCCCAGGCCTGAGCCCCAGGCCCTGAGCCCAGGCCCTGGGCCACAGGCCACAGGCCTGGGCCCTGAGCCTAGGCCACAGGCCACCAGGCCACTGAGCCCTGAGCCTGCACAGGCCACTGGGCCACTGGGCCACTGAGCCCTGAGCCCTGGGCCTAGGCCACTGAGCCCTGAGCCACAGGCCACCCAGGCCACAGGCCCAGGCCCTAGGCCAGCCCAGGCCACAGGCCACTGAGCCCTGAGGCCTGGGCCTGAGCCCCAGGCCCTGGGCCCTGGGCCTAGGCCACAGGCCTAGGCCACTGAGCCACAGGCCTGAGCCCTGGGCCACAGGCCACTAGGCCTAGGCCCTAGGCCTAGGCCACTGGCCACTGAGCCTGGGCCACTGAGCCACTGAGCCCTGAGCCACTGAGCCCTGAGCCTGAGCCCTAGGCCTGAGCCCTAGGCCACTAGGCCTGACCAGGCCCTGGGCCCTGGGCCACAGGCCCTGGGCCTAGGCCACAGGCCTAGGCCTGAGCCCTGAGCCACAGAGCCCAGGCCCCCAGGCCCTAGGCCCAGAGCCACAGGCCCAGAGCCCTAGGCCACCAGGCCCCAGAGCCCTGAGGCCACAGGCCTAGGCCACAGGCCACCAGGCCACTGAGCCCTAGAGCCACAGGCCCCAGGCCCCAGGCCCTAGAGCCCTAGGCCCTGAGCCTAGGCCACTGGGCCACAGAGCCCAGGCCACAGGCCACTGAGCCTGGCCCTGAGCCCTAGGCCTAGGCCCTAGGCCCTAGGCCACTGGGCCTAGGCCACCGAGCCCTGGGCCCTGGGCCCAGGCCTAGGCCCTGGGCCCTGGGCCACCAGGCCCAGGCCTAGGCCCTGAGCCTGGGCCACTGAGCCCTAGGCCACAGGCCACTGAGGCCTGGCCAGAGCCCCGGGCCACCAGGCCACTGAGCCCATGGGCCACAGGCCACAGGCCCAGGCCTGGCCCTGGGCCCTAGGCCACAGGCCCTAGGCCCAGGCCTGGGCCCTAGGCCACAGGCCCTGGGCCTGAGCCCTAGGCCATAGGCCCTGGAGCCTGGGCCCTGGGCCCCAGGCCTAGGCCACAGGCCACAGGCCCTAGGCCCTAGGCCCAGAGCCCTGAGCCCTGGGCCCAGGCCCTGGGCCACTGAGCCCTGGGCCACCAGGCCCTGGGCCACTAGGCCACAGGCCACTGGGCCCCAGGCCCTGAGGCCCTAGGCCACAGGCCTAGGCCCAGGCCTAGGCCCTGGGCCCTGGCCCAGGCCACAGGCCCTAGGCCACTGAGCCACAGGCCCTAGGCCCTGGGCCCTGGGCCACAGGCCACAGGCCTGGGCCTGGGCCCTAGGCCCAGGGCCACAGGCCTAGGCCTGGGCCTGCAGGCCACCAGGCCTCGAGCCACAGGCCACTAGGCCTAGGCCCTGAGCCCTGAGCCCTGGGCCCTGGGCCCAGACCTGAAGCCACTGAGCCTGAGGCCACAGACCCTGAGGCCCTGACCCCCAGGCCCTAGGCCCTGAGCCCTGGGCCACTGAGCCCTGGGCCCTAGGCCACTAAGCCCTAGGCCACTGAGGCCCTGAGCCCTAGACCACTAGGCCTGGGCCCTGAGCCTGAGCCCTGGGCCTGAGCCTAGGCCCTCGGCCCTGAGCCCTAGACCTGAGCCCTGGGCCACTGAGGCCCTGGGCCTCAGACCTGAGCCACTGAGCCACCAGGCCTGGGCCACAGGCCCTGAGCCCTGAGCCGACCCAGGCCTAGGCCACTGAGCCCTGAGCCACAGGCCACAGGCCACTGAGCCCCAGGCCTGAGGCCACTGAGGCCTAGGCCACCAGGCCACAGGCCCTGAGCCCTGAGCCCTAGGCCACAGGCCTGGAGCCCTGGGCCACTGAGCCCTGGGCCTGAGACCTGAGCCACTGAGCCCTGAGGCCTGGGCCCAGGCCCTGAGCCCCAGGCCCTAGGCCACAGGCCTAGGCCACAGGCCCTGGGCCACTGAGCCCTAGGCCACTGAGCCCTGAGCTAGGCCTAGGCCTAGGCCCTGAGCCACTGAGCCCAGAGCCTGGCCTGGGCCACAGGCCACAGGCCCTAGGCCACAGGCCCCAGGCCTAGGCCCTGAGAGCCACTGAGCCCCGAGGCCCAGAGCCTGAGCCTGCAGGCCACAGGCCCAGGCACAGGCCCTAGGCCACAGGCCACTGAGCCCTGGGCCACTGGGCCACTGGCCACAGGCCCTGGGCCACTAGGCCACAGGCCCCGGGCCACTGGGCCACTGAGCCTGAGGCCTGGGCCAGGCCCCGGGCCACAGGCCTGAGGCCACTGAGCCCCTGGAGCCCCCAGGCCTAGGCCACGAGGCCCTGAGCCTGGGCCCAGGCCCCGAGGCCCTGAGGCCTAGGCCACAGGCCACAGGCCCTGGGCCCAGGCCTGAGGCCCTGGGCTGCAGGCCTAGGCCACCAGGCCACTGAGGCCACTGAGCCCCTGGGCCCTGGGCCTGGGCCACTGAGCCCTGAGCCCCAGGCCCTAGGCCCTGAGCCCCGAGGCTGACTGAGCCACTAGGCCCTGGGCCTAGGCCTAGGCCCTAGGCCACTGAGCCCTAGGCCAGGCACTGAGCCCAGGCCCAGGCCACTGAGGCCTGAGGCCCTGAGCCTAGGCCACTGAGCCCTAGGCCACAGGCCTGGGCCACAGGCCACTGAGCCCCGGGAGCCTGAGCCCTGGGCCCCAGGCCTGGGCCTGGGCCCAGGCCCTGGGCCACTGAGGCCCTGGAGCCCTGGGCCACCAGGCCCTGAGGCCCTAGGCCACAGGCCACAGGCCCAGGCCTAGGCCCACTGAGCCCTGAGCCACAGGCCCCAGGCCACAGGCCCTGAGGCCACAGGCCACAGGCCCTGAGCCCTGAGCCCAGGCCTGAGCCCTGAGGCCCTGGGCCACAGGCCACTGGGCCCAGGCCCTGGGCCACAGGCCTGGGCCACAGGCCACTGAGCCCAGGCCACAGGCCCTAGGCCCTGAGCCCTAGGCCGAGCCTGAGCCCTAGGCCACAGGCCACGGGCCTGAGCCTGAAGCCTAGGCCCTGAGCCCGAGGCCACAGGCCCTAGGCCACTGAGCCCAGGCCTAGGCCCTGGGCCCTGAGGCCCTGAGGCCACAGGCCTGGGCCACTGAGGCCACTGAGCCCAGGGGCCCACCCAGGCCACCAGGCCCTGAGGCCACTGGACCCTGAGCAGCCTAGGCCACAGGCCACAGGCCCTGAGCCCAGAGCCTAGGCCCTGGGCCTGAGCCCTGGGCCACTAGGCCACTGAGCCCTGAGGCCCTAGGCCACCAGGCCTGAGGCCACAGGCCACTGGGCCACTGCAGGCCCTAGGCCACAGGCCACTGGCCACTGAGCCCTGAGCCACTGAGCCACAGGCCACAGGCCACCAGGCCCAGGCCTGGGCCCTGGGCCCTAGGCCCTGGGCCACAGGCCACTGAGCCACAGGCCACTGAGCCCACTGAGCCACTAGGCCACCAGGCCACAGGCCACTGAGCCCTAGGCCACTAGGCCCTGGGCCTACAGGCCCCAGACCCTAGGCCACTAGGCCCTGACCCTGAGCCCTGAGCCCTGGGCCACCAGGCCACAGGCCTGGGCCACAGGCCACTGAGCCCTAGGCCCTGAGCCCTGGGCCACAGGCCACTAGGCCACTGAGCCCTAGGCCACAGGCCACTGGCCCTAGGCCTAGGCCCTAGGCCACAGGCCTGGGCCCTGGGCCCTGGGCCTAGGCCTAGTGACCCTGCAGGCCACTGGCCACCAGGCCACAGGCCTCAGGCCCTGGGCCACTAGGCCTAGGCCACTGGAGCCCTGGCCACAGGCCCTGAGCCCTGAGCCCTGAGCCTAGGCCTAGGCCACTGAGCCCTGACACGGCCACTGAGCCCTGGGCCCTGGGCCCTGAGGCCCTGAGCCCACAGACCTGGGCCACTGAGCCCGCAGGCCACTGAGCCCTAGGCCACTGAGCCACTGAGGCCTAGGCCTAGGCCACAGGCCCTGAGCCCCAGGCCCTAGGCCCTAGGCCACTGAGCCCAGGCCCTGAGCCTGGGACCTGAGCCCTAGGCCCTGGGCCTGGGCCCTGAGCCTAGGCCACTGGCCTAGGCCCTGGGCCACTGAGCCCTGAGCCTGAAGCCCTAGGCCACAGGCCACTGAGCCCAGGCCACTGAGCCACAGACCCTAGGCCCTGGGCCACTGGCCCTAGGCCACAGGCCTAGGCCACTAGGCCACTGGGCCACAAGCCCTAGGCCACTGAGCCCTCGAGCCCTAGGCCACTGAAGCCCTCGGGCCCTGGGCCACAGGGCCTGAGCCCTCGAGCCTGGGCCACTGAGCCACGAGCCACAGGCCCTCGACCTGAAGCCTCGAGCCCTGAGCCACTGACCCTGGACCACTGAGCCCTGGGCCTAGGACCTGAGCCCTCGAGCCTGGACCACCGAGCCACTGAAGCCCGACCCAGGCCCTGAGCCGAACCCACAGGCCACAGGCCACTGACCTGAGCCACTGAGGCCTAGGCCCTCAGGCCACAGGCCCTCGGCCACTGAGCCCTCGACCACAAGCCCTCGACAGCCCTGAAGCCTAAGCCCTAGGCCCTGAACCCTCGGCCTGAGGCCACAGGCCTACGACCCACAAACCACTAAACCTGAGCCCTCGACCACCAGCCCTGAGCCTGAGCCCTCAGGCCACCCAGGCCCTAGGCCACAGGCCTGAAGCCCTGAGCCACAGGCCCTAGGCCCTCGAGCCCTGGGCCACAGGCCCTAGGCCCACAGGCCACCAGAAGCCACAGGCCTAGGCCTCGAGCCTGAGGCCACTGAGGCCACTGAGCCCTGGGCCACTGAGCCCAGGCCCTGAGCCTGAGCCCAGGCCCTAGGCCTGGGCCACAGGCCTCGGCCCTAGAGCCCTGAGCCCTAGGCCACTGAGCCACAGGCCCTAGGCCACTGAGCCCTGAGCCGGCCAGGCCACTGAGCCACAGGCCACAGAGCCCTAGGCCCTGGGCCACTAGGCCCTAGGCCACCAGGCCCAGACCCTGAAGCCCTGGGCCACTGAGCCTAGACCTGAGGCCCTAGGCCCACAGGCCCTCGAGCCCTGGACCTGGGCCCTAGGCCCTGAGCCCAGGCCCTGGGCCACAGGCCTAGGCCCTCAGGCCCTAGGCCACTAGGCCCTAGGCCACAGGCCCTAGGCCACAGGCCACAGAGCCCTAGGCCCTCGACCCTAGAGCCCTCAGGCCCTAGGCCCTGACCCACAGGCCTGAGCCACTGAGCCACTGAGCCACTGGCCACAGGCCACTGAGCCCTGAGCCCTGAGCCTAGGCCACTAGGCCACAGGCCCTGAGCCTGGGCCACTGAGCCCTGGACCACTAGGCCTGAGCCCTGAGCCCTAGGCCACAGGCCACTGACCCTGGCCACAGGCCACCAGGCCACTGAGCCACAGGCCACAGGCCACGGCCACTGACCACAGCCCTGACCACTGAGCCCTGAGCACTAGGCCACTGAGGCCACAGAGCCCTGGCCACTGAGCCCTGGGCCCTAGGCCACAGGCCCTGAGCCCTGAGCCACTGAGGCCACTGAGCACCAGGCCCTGAGCCCTGAGCCACAGGCCACAGGCCACCAGGCCACTGACCACTGAGCCTGAGCCCTGGGCCCTAGGCCACTGAGCCTGCCACAGGCCCTGAGGCCCTGGGCCTGAGCCACCTGAAGCCCTAAGACCTAAACCACACAAACCTAAACCCAAACCACCAAACCCTGACCCTAAGCCACAAACCACAAACCTAAACCACAAACCACTAAACCACTAAACTTTTTTTTGGATAAATTTAAATTGTATAGAAGGAAAAGGTATATACGAGATACGAGGGGCATACCCCAGAGTTATACAAGAAGGGAAAAGCTAATCGAGACTAGGTTGTCTTGATTCGCTAGACCCGAGCATAGGCGAAGCAAATGGGATGAACTCGAAGCCCGAACCCCTAAACACTTAGAAAAATTCAAAGAAAAATAAAGAAAACTTTAATAAAACCATCAAAGCTGGTAAATCCTAAAGACGCCATATGGACCAGAAGCTCGGCTGGGATGCGGTACTTATACTCCAAATCCAACAAACGTGATGCGATGACTTCAAAAATCTCCCCGTGATCTCACGGTAAGGTCGGTAGATACGATGAAAGACTCGGTTATTCCTCTCATACCGGATAAGTAAGCCAGTAGGTGAGAGGACTAAACGAGCAAGCAAATGGAGGAACTCTTTCTTCTTTCTCAAATGCATAGATGCCCGGTGTATCGAGAGATTGCCATATCATAGATGGCCGGCCTAGTAAAGTCTTCCTCGAAATATCATCCCGAAGAGCGGTAGAGAAAGAACGGTCGAAAAACAAATGTTCATGAGTTTCGACGTGCGACCCACAAAGGACACGATCTGTGCTTGGTAATGATGCGGAAAGCATGTAGTCTATCCATGGTATACAAACGGCCTAAAGCGACGAAGCCATAGAATAAAAGAGTGTACTAGGGATGTGACACGAAAACCAAAGAAGGTGATGAATAGAGTACGAAGGTCTCGAATCTGCGAGGATCTCCCAGTGAGTCAATAGAGAATCTCCACGAAGGATGACCCTTCCGGACATAATGATCGGGGAAGGCAATCCGTGGGTAAAAATGAATAGAGTTCCAAATCGAATGAAGGTCCGAAACACTGAAGGAAAAACCCGATGACCATGCTCGATGATATCGGATACCTTTGCATCCCGAGGTAACCCGAGGCGAAAGGACTGCGAAAGAGTAACGATCACATAGCCGGCGGCCAGTCGGGAAGCCAATAATCCATCCATAGAGAGGTAGAAGTCCCATCACCTATGCGAGAGATAAACAAGCCTTTGCACCGGTCTCGGCGAGGAGAATCTTCCTCCGAGCCCAGAAGGGGATGAAGGAGGGCGTACACCAAAAGATGCGCCTACGAGTAACACACGATGCACCCAAGATGACCAAACGGAAGATGCAGTCGAGAGGAGACGCCAGGACATGTTTTAGCGTAGCCGCTTTATTCAAGGCGTGAGCGGCAATCCCCAGAACCACCCTCACTGAAGAGGGTAACAAGCTGAAGCCCAAGCTACCTTAGCCCCGGAGGGGAAAGGGAGGAACCCTTCCACGAAAGGCGGCTAAAATACCCTCGATCCTCACGATAATTGAGCACGGAAGAATAAACATAGAGGACCAATATACCGGATAGAGAAGAGGACAGATTTGATCGATTGAAGGCGCCCAGAATATGTGAGAGAGGCTGAAGTCCATAGCTTAATCCGAGAGAGAATCCGCTCGACTAAAGGCAAGCGATCCACTATGCTTCAAACGAGTGGAGATCAAAGGGACTCCGAGATACCTAGCGGTAGAGAGCCCAGACGGAAACCCAAGAGAGATTGAAGGGAAGCTCTAGCTCGTCATCCACTCACGATAAGAAAACATTGCTTTTCTCGGGGTTAGTTATCAACCCGGATAACCTGTAAAAGTCATCCAGAGCCTTCCTCACAATCCCAGCCGAATCCATATACGCACGACGGAAAATCATAAGGTCATCGACAAAGCATAAGTGCGTGATGGCACTGCTGTTTGCACCTCGATGGGCCCGAAATCTTGGACTCTGTGAAGCCTCTCTAAGCATTCCTCCCGGACCCTCCATGGCAGAGACAAATAAATAGGGGGACAATGGATCACCTGCCAGAAGGCCTACATATGATGGAAAAAACCCGTGGAGCTCTCCATTTATAGCCATCGAGAAAAAAGTTTGTAGACATACATACCTCGATCCATTTAATCATGGAATTAGGCACTCCAATAGATTTCAATCCCAAGATGATAAATTCCCGGCTAAGCGTAGTCGAAAGCTTTCGGATGTCTACCTTGAAAGCACATCTAGCCATAGAGCTAGGTAGATGATAGTTATGCATGAGCTCTTGGGTCGGTAAAATAGCATACGATATCTGTCTACCGGGAATAAAAGCGATCGAAGTTTGGACCGATCACATCGGGTAGAATCATCTTCGACCTGCTCACGATGACTTTAGAGATGCATTTATACATGACATTACGGCATGCAATCGGCCTAAAGTCTTTCATAGAGGTAGGGTTCTCAATCTTAGGAATCGGAGAAATCCTAGTAGCATTAATACAACGAGGAAGAGTAGAGGAGCGAAGAAGTACCTTACGGCGACAATGAAGTCTGCGCAATAATATCCCAACTTTTCTTGAAAAACGAGAAGTGTAACCATCGGGGCACGGAGCCTTATCATCGGGATGGAGAATAAGGCTCCCTTGATCTCATCATCGGTGATATCGGACTCTAAAGTGGAAACCATATCGGGAGAAATGCTTGCTAGAAAAGTACCTAGAGGCATCCTCGGGAGGGGAGGCCGAATGAGAGGAGAGCACGTCACGAAAGTATCGAGCGCTAAGCTGACCCATACCATGCTGATCATGGACCCGAATCCCAGACTCATCGGTCAAGCCATGAATCCATGTTCACGACATGTCTATGAAGAAGCTGATCTATGGAAGAACTTGGTGTTCACTATCACCCGATTGAAGCCCTCGAATCCGAGGCCGTTGCTTATAAAAAGCTTCCTCATCCTTACTTAGTTGGGAGTATTCCTTAGCAAGCGCCCTCTCGGACACCAAGTACTCATCTATATGAGGAGAACCATCCAATAAAACTGAGTTGCGGCCAGACGAGCCTTTGCCTCCATCACCTACTAGAGATATGACTAGTGTGGTGACGATGGAAAGACTTAAGTTTAGACTTGAGCAACCCCGATCTACGAGTAAACACTGAACATCGGGTTACCATTCATCGGAACACTGCCAAACCTCCTCCACTAAACCCATAAAATCATCCTGTCGGCCCAAAAGTTCAAAAACTTAAATGAAGCTTTTACCTTAGATGGAGCGGAGCTGAAATCAACCACCATAGCACTATGATCGGATGAATCTCGTGGTAGAAATTCGAGCGAGTAGTCGGCCATGATGAGAACCACTGCGAGTTACCAAAAATCCGGTCGAGCTTTTCTAGAATAGAGCCACTTGCCATGCGGACTATTATGCCGGGAGAATCTCAAACCTGAATAAGGAACTGCGATTAACTCGGATGCATGCACACGATTGCTAAAATCATCCATATGTCCATACCAGAAGGGTCACCCCCATACTTATACGAAGAACTCGAGAATAGCATTAAAGTCTCCCAAGACAAGCCAAGGCACGGATTGAAAAGCGAGAAGAGTGAAGCCTCGAAATAATCCCACGAGTCCGACGACTATACGGTGTATTTAAACCATACACAAAAGTTACGACAAAGAGGAGCGATCAACCAAGCTAGAAACCTCACAAGTCATCCTTTGCAAGGAAGAATGCAAACGGCAAATGCTATACACCAACGGGTCCCGACCAATCAGAATACGACATTTAAGCTGCATCGACACATTAGAAAGAAGCGCCGGGATGAAGGATTTATAGGCGATTCAACTCTCCTCATACGGCTAGCGGCAACTTTGGTCTCGAGAAGACCTACTAAGCTAATACGATATTTAGCAATCCAATCCTTAACCACTCTCTGTTTTGACGGGCCATTAAGACCCCAAATATTCCAGCAACCTAACATAAAAATAGGAGTGGAGGAGAAAACATAGGGGAAAAATTAATAGCCACTTAGGCTTTTTCCCCCCTTCTTCTTCTTATGAGATAGGGGGTTACCTTGGCTTTTTGACACAGTGACAACCGGTGAACTCGATGAAGAGGCCACTGAATTTGAGGAGGCCTTGAGTGGCGATGAAATCCTGCCGATCCATTGTTGCTAGGCAAAGATGCCACTTTGCTCTCCAAACAACTTGCTCCATGGCTATCACGGCAAAGCTGATCCTTCTCCACTGTGAGATGTCATTAGGCGAGTACGAGCACGAGTCGACCCACAATTTTCTTTCATCCTATCATCTCTAACGGTAGAGCCCGGAGCGACGGACTCATGCAGCACGGAATAAGGTTGAAGAGCTAGGCGAGTATGCTGGGGCTCTGCGACGGTCCCAGAGTAGGCACGGCGGGAGGAACCTCGACAACAACGGCAACGGGGGTGCTACACTGCCATTAAGACATCCCCTCCATTTTTGGGTTACGTCGAATTAAGCTGGTATACTCTTAGCCTTGCACGAATGCCCAAACACTTTGCAAGTTCCACGAACACTCGGCTTCCATTCATACTCAGCTGAAACCGATATAGGCTCGGAAGATAACCTACATTTCAGGCGAAAGGAGTGAACCATAGGCATCGAAGCATCCGGCTCAACACAAACCCGAGCATAATCAAGTCGAGTGCATCCTAGAGTTTGTTGGTCGGATGATAAAGGTCTTCCAACCATACTCGGTTGCCATACCTAATCCGGTCTCATTCCACGACGGAAAAGGCAATCCATGAAGTCGGATCCACACTTTGGAACCTTTGAAATTTTGGATTTGTCAAAAACAAAGTGGGGATGCCACTTGTTGGAGAACAATGCTCTTACCTCCAAACATCCACGGTCCACTGCTCCATAACCAAATGGACATCCTCCTCTCTCTTGAAACGAAAAATCATGAAGCCTTGTCGTGTTGAGGAAACACTCTCAAGACCAGAATTTTTCCAAACCCGTTGAGCAATAGAGTTCACCGCATGGAATGGCATCGAGCACACTGGAAAGAAGCCAACTAAACATCGGCTCCATCGTGAAGAACTCTCATCAATGACGTGGTCTGGAATTTCCAAAACGGTACCTATTGGTTGCCTTGGAAATGATGAGATTGAAGCTCGGGTTTTAGCACTAGACACTTTTACCCGATCAGCCCATGACCCACTAGGAGGGGTGGATATGGTGGTGGCATTCAGTTTGTGGGCGATTTGGGTGGTTTTCGGCTGACCGGTTGTGGCTGGTTTGGTGGGATTTTGGGTGGTGGTGGCGTTTTTTGTGGTGGAAGTGGATGCTGCTGCTGTTACTGTTCCGGCAGTCATTGTAGCAGTCTGTCTTCAATCCAAAAACCAATGAAATCAAATTCTGGACGGTGAGCACGTAGCCACTTGAGCTACGAATCTTCCCCCAAAGGTTTCACTCTCATCCAACGGTGGACGGCGGAGCGATTGCCCTGACGGCAACCGGCGACACAATTTCAGGTAGTCTCTGTTGGAAAGCGATAACGCCTCGCTCACAGCTCCAACCCCAATCTCCCCCGTTCAGAACCCGGATCCCAACTAGACACAGCTGTGGTAGAAAATTGAGCTCAATCCAACGGTTAACAAAGCCAAAATCTCCAAAACAATCAATGTTCTTTTGCCCAGAAAAACGGTAAAAACATCACAGAATACTCAGACGCCAATTTTCCTTGCTTCCCCAACTCTGATCTGCAAATCCTTCGGTCAGAATTCCGACGACAGCTACAGAAAACACATATCCAAATTTCAATTCAATCGGACGGCCTACGACGGAGTTATAGCTCCGACGGCGGTAACAATCGGACTGCCAATTCTTAGAGCTTTCCAACCCGTATGTTCCAGAGGTCGTAACTCCCTGGTCGACAATTAAACAGCAAATCCCTCCGGTGAGAAGGAAGCCCAGAGTCAGGCGAACAACATATCAAAATTTCAGTACGATCTGACGGTCGACGACGGCGATGAAGCTCCGGCAGCCGTGAGTCTCTGTCAGCTGACCTGCAGAGCGTTTTTTCCTCCACTAAGCCACTGCCCTAAACCCTAAACCACAAACCCTCCCCAAACCACTAAACCTAAACCCTAAACCCCAAACCCCAGACCCCAGGCCCTAGACCCCAAGCCCTAAACCTAGGCCCTAAACCTAGGCCCCAAACTGAGCCCAAACCTAGGCCTAAACCCGCAGCCCCCAGGCAGGCCACGAGCCACGAGCCCCGAGCCACAGGCCCATGAGCCTAAACCTGAAAGCCCCCAAGAGCCCACTAGCGCCACAGGCCCCACTGGGCCCCACCAGGCACACAGGCCCTAAGGCCTAGGCCCTAAACCCCAGGCCCCAAACCCCAGGCCCCAGACCCCCAGGCCCCCTGAGCCCGAGCCCTGAGCCCCAGACTGAGCCCTGAGCCACAAGCCCCGAGCCCAGGCCCAGGCCCACAGGCCCTGAGCCCTAGGCCTAGGCCACTAGGCCCTAGGCCCTGGGCCACAGGCCTAGGCCCTGAGCCCTGAGCCACTGGGCCACTGAGGCCTGAGCCTGGGCCCTGAGCCCTGGGCCCTGAGCCCTAGGCCCTGAGCCCTGGGCCACAGAGCCCTGAGCCCTGAGGCCACTGAGCCTAGGCCACTGAGCCCTGGGCCTGGGCCCTAGGCCCTGAGCCCTGGGCCTAGGCCCTAGGCCCTGGGCCCTAGGCCTGAGGCCCTGGGCCCTGGGCCCTGAGCCCTGGGCCACTGAGCCCTAGGCCACAGGCCCTGAGGCCCTGGGCCCTGGGCCCTGGGCCTGGGCCCACAGGCCCTGGGCCCTGGGCCCTGGGCCACAGGCCTAGGCCCTGGGCCCTGGGCCACAGGCCACTGGGCCTGAGGCCTAGGCCTAGGCCAGGCCCTGAGCCCTGAGCCTGGAGCCACAGGCCCCAGGCCCTGGAGCCCTGAGCCCTGGGCCACCTGAGGCCCTGGGCCTGAGCCCTGAGCCCTGGGCCTAGGCCCTGAGCCCTGAGGCCCTGGGCCCAGGCCACTGAGCCCTAGGCCCTAGGCCTGGGCCCTAGGCCTGGGCCCTGAGCCCTGGGCCCTGAGGCCCTGGGCCACAGGGCCCTGGGCCCCAGGCCCAGGCCCTGGGCCCCAGGCCTGGGCCACCAGGCCCGACCTAGGCCACCAGGCCCTGAGCCCTGGGCCACTGGGCCACAGGCCTAGGCCCTAGGCCACCAGGCCCTAGGCCCTGAGCCCAGGCCACAGGCCCTGGGCCACAGGCCCTGAGCCCTGGGCCACTGGGCCCTGGGCCTAGGCCCTGGGCCCTAGGCCACCAGGCCCTGGGCCCTGGGCCTGGGCCCTGGGCCCTGAGCCACAGGCCACAGGCCCTGGGCCACTAGGCCCAGGCCTGGGCCCTAGGCCCTGGGCCTGGGCCCTGGGCCCTGGGCCCTGGGCCCTAGGCCACTGGGCCCTGGGCCACTGGGCCCTGGGCCCTAGGCCTGGGCCACTGAGCCCTGGGCCCTGGGCCTGAGCCCTGGGCCCAGGCCACCAGGCCCTGGGCCTGGGCCCTGGGCCCCAGGCCCTGGGCCCTGGGCCACAGGCCCTGGGCCACAGGCCCTGGGCCCCAGGCCACAGGCCCTAGGCCCTGAGCCCTGGGCCACTGGGCCCTGGGCCCTGGGCCCTGGGCCACTGGGCCACAGGCCCTAGGCCTAGGCCCTAGGCCCTGGGCCCTAGGCCACAGGCCCTAGGCCTGGGCCACAGGCCCTGGGCCACTGGGCCACCAGGCCACAGGCCCTGGGCCCTGGGCCCTAGGCCTGGGCCCTGGGCCCTGGGCCACTAGGCCACTGGGCCCTGGGCCACTAGGCCACTGGGCCCTGAGCCCTGGGCCCTGAGCCTGAGCCCTGAGCCCTGAGCCCTGGGCCCTGAGCCTGAGCCCTAGGCCCTGAGCCCTGAGCCACCAGGCCACAGGCCACAGGCCACAGGCCTGGGCCACTGGGCCTAGGCCCTGAGCCTGGGCCCTGGGCCCTGAGGCCTAGGCCCTGAGGCCCTGAGCCTGAGGCCACTGAGGCCACTGGGCCCTGGGCCTGGGCCCTGGGCCACTGAGGCCTGGGCCTAGGCCACAGGCCTGGGCCCTGGGCCTGGGCCTGGGCCTGACCAGGCCCTGGGCCTGGGCCCTGGGCCACTAGGCCCTGGGCCCTAGGCCTGGGCCACTGAGCCCTGGGCCTAGGCCACAGGGCCACTGAGCCACAGGCCCTGGGCCCTAGGCCCTGGGCCACTGAGCCCTGAGGCCTGAGGCCCTGGGCCACTAGGCCCTGGGCCACAGGCCCTGAGCCTAGGCCTGGGCCCTGGGCCCTGGGCCACAGGCCTGGGCCCTGGGCCCTGGGCCCTGGGCCCTGGGCCCTGGGCCACTGAGCCACTGGGCCCTGGGCCCTGGGCCACTGGGCCACAGGCCCTGGGCCACTGAGCCCTGGGCCACTAGGCCTGGGCCTGGGCCCTGGGCCCTGAGCCCTGAGGCCCTGGGCCCTGAGCCCTGCAGGCCCTGGGCCACAGGCCCTGAGCCCTGGGCCACAGGCCTGAGCCCTGGGCCCTGAGCCCTGGGCCTGAGCCCTAGGCCACAGAGCCCTGAGCCCTGGGCCTGGGCCACAGGCCTGAGCCCTGGGCCTGGGCCACTGAGCCAGGCCACAGGCCACTAGGCCACCAGGCCTGAGGCCCTGAGCCCCAGGCCACTGGGCCCTGGCAGGCCCTGGGCCTGAGGCCTGAGCCCTGGGCCCTGGGCCCAGGCCACTGGGCCCTGGGCCCTGGAGCCCTGGGCCCTGGGCCACAGGCCACTGGGCCCTGAGCCCAGGCCACTGGGCCACTGAGCCACTAGGCCACTAGGCCACAGGCCTAGGCCCTGGGCCACCAGGCCCTGAGGCCACCAGGCCCTGGGCCTAGGCCCTGGGCACTGGGCCCTGAGCCCAGAGCCCTGAGCCCTGGGCCACTGAGCCCTAGGCCCTAGGCCACCAGGCCTAGGCCACTGAGCCCTAGGCCCTAGGCCACAGGCCCTGGGCCACAGGCCTGGGCCACAGGCCACCTAGGCCACTGAGCCCTGGGCCCTAGGCCTAGGCCTAGGCCCTGAGCCCTAGGCCCTAGGCCCTAGGCCACAGGCCCTAGGCCCTGAGCCACTGGGCCACTGAGCCCTGGGCCTAGGCCACAGGCCCAGGCCACAGGCCACAGGCCACTGAGCCACAGGCCACAGGCCTAGGCCCTAGGCCACAGGCCACTAGGCCCTGAGCCTAGGCCCTAGGCCACTAGGCCCTGGGCCACTGAGCCACTGGGCCACAGGCCCTGAGGCCCAGGCCTCAGGCCACAGGCCACTAGGCCACAGAGCCTGAGGCCACCAGGCCACTGAGCCACAGGCCTGAGGCCACTGAGCCACCAGGCCCTAGGCCACATGAGCCCCAGGCCCTGGGCCTAGGCCTGAGGCCCTAGGCCACAGGCCACAGGCCCTGGGCCACCAGGCCACAGGCCACAGGCCCTGGGCCACTGAGCCTGGGCCACAGGCCTGCAGGCCTAGGCCACTGAGCCCTAGGCCACAGGCCCAGGCCACAGGCCTGGGCCACAGGCCTGAGGCCACAGGCCACCAGGCCCTGGGCCACCAGGCCCTAGGCCACCAGGCCCTGGGCCCTAGGCCCAGGCCTAGGCCACCAGGCCTAGGCCACTGAGGCCACAGGCCACAGGCCACAGGCCACTGAGCCCTGAGCCACAGGCCACAGGCCTAGGCCTGAGCCACAGGCCTGAGGCCTAGGCCACTGAGCCCTAGGCCCTGAGCCACAGAGCCCTAGGCCACTAGGCCTGAGCCCTGAGCCCTGAGCCACTAGGCCACTGGGCCACAGGCCACTGAGGCCACCAGGCCACAGGCCCAGGCCACCAGGCCACAGGCCACAGGCCTAGAGCCACAGGCCACAGAGCCTGAGGCCACCAGGCCACTAGGCCACAGGCCACAGGCCACAGGCCACAGGCCACAGAGCCTAGGCCCACAGGCCACAGGCCACAGGCCACAGGCCACAGGCCACAGGCCACCAGGCCACAGGCCACAGGCCACTAGGCCACTAGGCCACAGAGCCACTGAGGCCCTAGGCCATGAGGCCACAGGCCTGAGCCCTGAGCCCTAGGCCTAGGCCCCAGGCCACAGGCCCTGAGGCCCTAGGCCACAGGCCACAGGCCATGAGCCCTGGGCCTAGGCCACCAGGCCACTGAGGCCCTGAGCCCTGAGCCCTGGCCACTGAGCCTGAGGCCAGCTGCAGGCCCTGGGCCACAGGCCACAGGCCTGGGCCACAGGGCCCTGGGCCACCAGGCCTGGAGGCCCTAGGCCTAGGCCACTGGGCCACTAGGCCACAGGCCACAGGCCACTGAGCCACCAGGCCACTGAGCCCTGAGGCCACTGAGCCCAGCCAGGCCACTAGGCCACAGGCCCTAGGCCCTGAGCCTAGGCCCTGAGGCCACCAGGCCACAGGCCACAGGCCCTGGGCCACAGGCCACTGAGCCCTGGGCCACTGAGGCCTGAGCCACAGGCCCTGAGGCCACAGGCCAGCCTGAGCCACTGAGGCCACAGGCCACCAGGCCACAGGCCACAGGCCACAGGCCACAGGCCTGAGCCCTGAGCCACAGGCCACAGGCCACAGGCCCTGAGGCCACCAGGCCTGAGCCACAGGCCTAGGCCTGAGGCCCTGAGCCACTGAGCCACTAGGCCCTGGGCCTAGGCCACTGGGCCACAGGCCACAGGCCCTGAGCCCTGAGGCCAGGCCACAGGCCGCAGGCCACAGGCCCTGAGCCACAGGCCACTGAGCCCTGGGCCTAGGCCACAGGCCCTGGGCCACTAGGCCACTGAGCCCTGGCCCTGGGCCACAGGCCAGGCCTGAGGCCTGAGCCCTGGGCCTAGGCCACTGAGCCCTGAGCCACAGGCCACAGGCCACTAGGCCCTAGGGCCAGGCCACAGGCCACTGAGGCCACAGGCCCTAGGCCACAGGCCACTAGGCCTAGGCCACTGAGCCACTGAGGCCACAGGCCACCAGGCCCTGGGCCACTAGGCCTGAGGCCACAGGCCACAGGCCTAGGCCCTGAGCCTAGGCCCTGAGGCCCTGGGCCACAGGCCACTGAGCCCAGGCCTAGGCCCTGAGCCATGGGCCACAGGCCACAGGCCACAGGCCACAGGCCACTAGGCCACAGGCCCTGAGCCCTGAGCCACTGAGCCTGAGCCACAGGCCCTAGGCCACAGGCCACTGGGCCTGAGCCCTAGGCCTAGGCCACTAGGCCACTGAGCCACAGGCCATCAGGCCCTGAGGCCACCAGGCCACTAGGCCACAGGCCCTGAGCCCTGGGCCCGGGCCTGGGCCTGAGGCCACAGGCCCACAGGCCTGAGGCCACTAGGCCCTGGGCCACAGGCCACTGAGGCCCTAGGCCACAGGCCTGAGGCCCTGAGGCCACTGAGCCCTGAGGCCACAGGCCACAGGCCACAGGCACTGGCCACAGGCCCTGAGCCCTGAGCCCTGAGCCCTAGGCCACAGGCCACCAGGCCCTAGGCCTAGGCCACTAGAGCCACTGAGCCACAGGCCACAGGCCACTGAGCCACTAGGCCACTAGGCCTAGGCCCTAGGCCACCAGGCCACTGAGCCCAGGCCACTAGGCCTCAGGCCACAGGCCACTGAGCCCTGGCCCTGAGCCCTAGCCCAGGCCACTGAGCCACTGAGCCTAGGCCACCAGGCCACAGGCCACAGGCCACAGGCCTGAGCCTAGGCCACTGAGCCCTGGGCCCTAGGCCTAGGCCCTGGGCCCTAGGCCCAGGCCACACCTGGCCTGACCAGGCCCTGGGCCACAGGCCACAGGCCACTGAGCCCTGGCCACAGGCCACTAGGCCCTGAGCCACTGAGGCCACAGGCCACAGGCCACTGAGCCTGGGCCACCAGGCCACAGGCCACCAGGCCACAGGCCCTGGGCCCTAGGCCTAGGCCACTGAGCCTAGGCCATGGGCCACTAGGCCCTGGGCCACCAGGCCACAGGCCACAGGCCTAGGCCCTGGGCCACTGGGCCACCAGGCCCTAGGCCACAGGCCACAGGCCACCAGGCCACTAGGCCACTGAGCCACAGGCCACTGGGCCACAGGCCTAGGCCTAGGCCACAGGCCACTAGGCCCTAGGCCCTGAGCCACCAGGCCACAGGCCACTGAGCCTAGGCCCTGGGCCCTGAGGCCTAGGCCACAGGCCTGGGCCACCAGGCCACAGGCCACGGGCCCAGGCCTGGGCCTGAGCACTGGCCACTGAGCCACAGGCCCTGGGCCACTAGGCCACAGGCCTGAGCCCTGGCCCTGAGCCCTAGGCCATGGGCCACAGGCCCTAGGCCACCAGGCCTAGGCCACAGGCCACTGAGGCCACAGGCCACCAGGCCACAGGCCACAGGCCTAGGCCACTGGGCCTCAGGCCTGAGCCCTGAGCCAGGCCTGAGCCTGAGCCCTAGGCCACTGAGCCACTGAGCCCTGGCCACAGGCCCTAGGCCACTAGGCCCTGGGCCACAGGCCACAGGCCACTGAGCCACACAGGCCACAGGCCTAGGCCACCTGAGCCACACGGCCTAGGCCACTGAGGCCTAGGCCACTGAGCCACAGGCCACTAGGCCACTAGGCCTAGGCCACCAGGCCACAGGCCACTAGGCCACTAGGCCACTAGGCCACTGAGGCCACTAGGCCCTAAGCCTAGGCCACTCGAGCCCTGAGCCTCGAGCCACTGAGCCCTCGACCCTGAGCCACTGAAGCCCTCGAGCCTCGAGCCCTAGGCCACTGAGCCTAGGCCACTCAGGCCACAGGCCACTCGACCCTAGGCCACTAGGCCCTAGAGCCTAGGCCACAAGCCCTCAGGCCACTGAGCCACTGAGCCACAGGCCCTAGGCCTAGGCCACAGGCCACTCGACCCTCGGCCACAGGCCCTGGCCACTGAGCCACTGAGCCAGCCTAGGCCTAGGCCCTCGACCTAGGCCACAAGGCCACCAGGCCACAGGCCCTGAGCCCAGGCCACAGGCCTAGGCCACAGGCCTGAGCCTGAGCCCTGACCCAGGCCCTAGGCCACAGGCCACAGGCCACAGGCCACTAGGCCTAGGCCCTGAGCCACAGGCCACTGAGCCTGCAGGCCTAGGCCTAGGCCACAGGCCACTGAGCCCTAGGCCACAGGCCACAGGCCTAGGCCACAGGCCCTAGGCCACAGGCCCTGAGGCCACTAGGCCTAGGCCACAGGCCTGACCCAGGCCACAGGCCATAGGCCACCAGGCCTAGGCCTGAGCCCTAGGCCACTAGGCCACAGGCCTAGGCCCTAGGCCTGAGGCCACTAGGCCCTAGGCCACTAGGCCACTGAGCCACTAGGCCACAGGCCACTGAGCCACAGGCCACAGGCCACAGGCCCAGGCCTAGGCCTAGGCCACAGGCCCTAGGCCTAGGCCTAGGCCCTGAGCCTAGGCCCTGGGCCCAGGCCACTGGGCCCTGGGCCACTGGCCACTGAGCCTAGGCCCTGGGCCTAGGCCCTGGGCCACTGGGCCACTAGGCCCTGAGCCTAGGCCACAGGCCTAGGCCCTGAGCCCTGGGCCACAGGCCACAGGCCTGAGCCAGGCCACAGGCCACAGGCCACTGGCCTAGGCCTAGGCCTAGGCCCTGAGCCCTGAGGCCACAGGCCCTAGGCCACAGGCCACCAGGCCCTGGGCCACAGGCCACAGGCCACTAGGCCCTAGGCCCTGGGCCACAGGCCACTGAGCCCTAGGCCACAGGCCTGAGCCTAGGCCACTGAGGCCACAGGCCACTGAGCCACTGAGCCTAGGCCCTGGGCCTAGGCCACAGGCCACTGAGGCCACAGGCCACTAGGCCACAGGCCACTAGGCCACCAGGCCACAGGCCTGGGCCACCAGGCCACAGGCCCTGGGCCACAGGCCTGAGGCCACTGGGCCACCAGGCCTAGGCCACAGGCCTAGGCCCTAGGCCACAGGCCACTAGGCCACTGGGCCACTGAGCCCACAGGCCACAGGCCTGGGCCACTAGGCCACAGGCCACTGAGCCGCCAGGCCACAGGCCACAGGCCATAGGCCCTAGGCCACTAGGCCACAGGCCACAGGCCACTGAGCCTGAGGCCTAGGCCACTAGGCCACAGGCCACTGAGCCCTGGGCCACTGAGCCACTGAGCCACAGGCCCTGGGCCACCAGGCCACTAGGCCCTGAGCCACAGGCCTGAGCCCTAGGCCACTGAGCCCTAGGCCACAGGCCATAGGCCTAGGCCATAGGCCCTGAGCCACAGGCCACTCGGCCCTCGAGCCACGAGCCCTGAGCCCTGAGGCCACTGAGCCACTAGGCCCTCGACCACTGAGCCTGAGCCACTGAGCCACTGAGGCCCTCGACCCTAGGCCCTCGAGCCTGAGCCCTGAGGCCACTAGGCCACTGAGCCCTGGGCCCTCAGGCCACAGGCCTAGGCCACTGAGCCTGAGGCCTGAGCCTCGAGCCCTCGAGCCACTAGGCCCTCGGCCCAGGCCTCAGGCCACCAGGCCTCAGGCCTGAGCCCTGGGCCACTAGGCCACTAGGCCACAGGCCACTAGGCCACAGAGCCTGAGGCCCTAGGCCTGGGCCCTAGGCCACAGGCCACTGAGCCCTGGGCCACTGAGCCCTAGGCCTCAGGCCACAGGCCCTAGGCCACTAGGCCCTCGAGCCTGAGCCCTAGGCCTGAGCCCTCGACCTGAGCCACAGAGCCACAAGCCCTCGACCACTGGGCCACAGAGCCCTCAGACCTAGCACAGGCCACTAGGCCATCAGGCCACTGAAGCCACTAGGCCCTCGACCACTGAGCCCACAGGCCCTCGAGCCCTCGGCCCTCGGCCACAAGCCACAGGCCTCGAGCCACAGGCCACAGGCCCTCGGCCACAGAGCCACGCAGGCCACAGGCCCTCGGCCACAGGCCACTAGGCCACTGAGCCACTGAGCCCTCGACCTAGGCCTGAGCCACAGGCCACTGAGCCACTGAGCCACTCGAGCCTCAAGCCACAGAGCCTCGACCCTCGAGCCACTAGGCCACTCAGACCTCAGGCCCTCGGCCACAGGCCATGAGGCCACTGAGGCCACAGGCCCTGAGCCACGAGGCCCTGAGCCTACAGGCCACTGAGCCTGAGGCCACAGGCCACCAGGCCCTGAGCCACAGGCCACAGGCCACTAAGCCACTAGGCCACTGAGGCCTGAGGCCTAGGCCACAGGCCTACAGGCCCTAGGCCACAGGCCACTAGGCCACTGAGGCCTAGGCCACAGGCCACTGAGCCACAGGCCACCAGGCCCTGAGCCCTGGGCCACCAGGCCACAGGCCCTAGGCCACTGAGCCACAGGCCACAGGCCACTGAGCCACCAGGCCACTGAGCCACCAGGCCACAGGCCACTGAGCCTGAGGCCACAGGCCTAGGCCACATGAGCCACTGAGCCCTGAGCCTAGGCCACTGAGCCACAGAGCCACAGAGCCACTGAGCCACAGGCCCTGAGCCTGGGCCACTAGAGCCACTGAGGCCACTGAGCCCTAGGCCACAGAGCCCTCGAGCCCTAGGCCTCAGGCCCTAGGCCCTGAGCCACCAGGCCCTGAGCCCTGGGCCACAGGCCACTGGACCTGAGCCCTCGAGCCCTCGACCCTCAGGCCCTGAGCCCTGCGACCCTGAGCCTGAGCCCTCGGCCCTCAGGCCACAGGCCTCGAGCCACCAGGCCACCAGGCCACTGGGCCCTGCAGGCCACAGGCCACCAGGCCACAGGCCACTGAGCCCTGAGGCCATAGGCCACTGAGCCACCAGGCCCTGAGGCCTGAGCCAGGCCACAGGCCTGGGCCACAGGCCACAGGCCACTGAGCCACAGGCCACTGAGGCCACTAGGCCACTAGGCCACTGAGCCCTCAGGCCACTAGGCCACTGGGCCACAGGCCACAGGCCACAGGCCACAGGCCACAGGCCCTGAGCCCTAGGCCACTAGGCCCTGGGCCACCAGGCCACAGGCCACTGAGGCCACAGGCCACTGAGCCCCAGGCCCTGAGGCCACTGAGGCCACAGGCCACGAGGCCACAGGCCACAGGCCACAGGCCACCAGGCCACAGGCCACAGGCCACAGGCCACAGGCCACTGAGCCCTGAGCCACAGGCCACTGAGCCACAGGCCACAGGCCACTGAGGCCCTGGGCCACAGGCCACAGGCCACTGAGCCCCAGGCCATGAGCCCTGAGCCACAGGCCCTGAGCCCTAGGCCACTGAGCCACAGGCCACAGGCCACAGGCCACTGAGCCACTGAGGCCACTGAAGCCCTGAGCCCACAGGCCACAGGCCTGAGCCCTGGGCCCTAGGCCACCAGGCCACTGAGCCCCAGGCCACAGGCCACTGAGGCCTGAGGCCCCAGGCCACTAGAGCCACTGAGCCCCAGACCCTGAGGCCACAGGCCACTGAGCCCTGGGCCCTAGGCCCTGACCTGAGCCACTGAGCCACAGGCCACCAGGCCACAGGCCACAGGCCTCAGGCCACAGGCCCTGAGCCACAGGCCACTGAGCCACAGGCCCTGAGGCCACAGGCCACTGAGCCCTCGACCCTCGGCCACTCGGCCACAGAGCCCTGAGCCTGAAGCCACAAGCCCTCGACCACTCGGCCCTCGGCCCTCGGCCCTCGGCCCTCGACCACTGAGCCACAAGCCACTGAAGCCCTCGAGCCCTCGACCCAAGCCCACAAGCCACAAGCCACTCGACCCTCGACCACTGAGCCCTCGACCCTGGGCCACAAGCCACAAGCCCTCGGCCACCGACCACAGGCCACAGGCCACTGAGCCCTCGGCCCTGGGCCACAGAGCCCTCGGCCACCAAGCCCTGAGCCTGCAAGCCCTCGGCCACTCAGGCCCTGAGCCACGACCACAGGCCACAAGCCACATGAGCCTACAGGCCACAGAGCCTAAGCCACAGGCCACAAGCCTAAGCCACAAACCTGAGCCACTGAGCCAGCCAGGCCCAGGCCACAGGCCACAGAGCCCCAGGCCCCAGAGCCCAGGCCACAGGCCACAGAGCCTAGGCCACTGAGGCCCCAGGGCCCAGGGCCACCAGGCCACAGAGCCACAGGCCTCAGGCCCCGGACCCCAGGCCCCAGGCCCAGACCCCAGACCCCAGGCCACAGGCCCTAGGCCATGAGCCACTGAGCCCCAGAGCCCAGAGACCCAGGCCACAAGCCTGAGGCCACAGAGCCCACAGACCCTGAGCCCCAGGCCACATGAGCCCTGAGCCTAGGCCACCAGGCCACTGGAGCCACTAAGCCACTGAGCCACTGAGCCCCAGACCTGAGCCCCAGGCCACAGGCCTGAGCCCCAGACCCCAAGCCCAGCTGAGCCCACAGGCCACTGAGCCATAGGCCACTAGGCCACAGGCCTAGGCCGCCCGGCCACAGGCCACAGGCCACAGGCCACAGGCCACTGAGCCCAGGCCCCACCAGACCACTGACACTCAGGCCACAAGCCTGAGCACTGAGGCCACAGGCCACGACAGGCCACTGAGGCCTGAGGCCTAGGCCACAGGCCACAGGCCACTGAGCCACAGGCCACTGAGCCCACTGAGCCCCCTGAGCCACCAGGCCACCAGGCCTCAGGCCCTAGGCCACCAGGCCACAGGCCACTGAGCCACAGGCCCAGACCCCTGACCACTGAAGCCACTAGGCCACAAGCCCTGAGCCCACAGGCCCCAGAGCCCTAGACCACCAGAGCCTGAGGCCCCAGGACCTAGCCACAGGCCACCAGACCCACTGACCCTGAACCCCAAACCCACTAAGCCACAAGCCCCAGAACCTGAGCCACGAGCCACACAACCCTAAGCCACTAAGCCTAAGCCTCAACTGACCTCGACCACCAAGCCTGAACCCTCAGGCCCCAGACCACTAAGCCCCAGGCCCCAGACCGAGCCCTGAGCCACTCGGCCGAGACCGTCAAACCCAAGACCCCAGCCACTGACCCTCGAAGCTCAGAACCATTTGTTCTTTTTTTAATTCATCGTTCCTTTTTTTTTTATGTTATTATATTTTTTGGTGTTTTTCTTTTTTTATTTTATATTTTTGTGCTTTTTGCTTTAACTTTCATTTTTTGCAATTGTCTTATTTTTTTTCCTTTTCAAGTTTTTTATTTTTTCCTTTATTTCTTCGTTTTTCCTTTCTTTTTCTTTTGGTTATTTATTTTCTTTTCCTTTTTTGACTATTTTTTTATTTTTTAATTTGTTTAATTGTCCCGTCTTGACGTTTTTTTTATCGTTTGGTCGATTTTTATTTTTTTTCCTTCTTTTTTTGCATTTTAATATTTGCTTTATTTTTCTTTTGTTTTTTAATTGCTTTTATTTTTTGTTTTTTATTTTTTAATGTTTTTTGCTTTATTTCTTTTTTAACTTTTTTCTTAAACTTTCTTTCGTTTTAATGTTTTTTTTTTTTTTTTTTTGGCTTTTCTTTTCTTTTCTTGAATTTTTGAGTTTTTTTATTTTGGTTTTTTTCTACTTCTTTATTTTTCCTTTCTTTTTCTTTTGGTTTTTTAGTTTCTTTTTCTTTTGTTATTCGCTTTTTTTAATTACCATTTCTTGAGTTTTTCTTCTTGTTTGATTGATTTTAAGTTTTTTTTTTTGTTATTGTGTTTTCTTTTTCTTTTTTTTCTTTTTTTCATCGTCAATTTTTATTTTTTTTCTCGCTTTTTGCTTTATTTCTTTTTTACTTTTTTTGCATCTTTCTTTCATTTTTTTGGGAATTGTTTTATTTTCTTTTTTTTTTTTTGGTTTTTAATTTTTTTGCTTGTTTGCTTTTTATTTTTTATTTTTTTTTTTTTGTTTTTCTTTTACTTCTTTTTTTCTCCTTTTGTTCTACCTTTTTTTATTTTTAATTATCGTTTCTTGAGCTTTTTTTCTTGTTTGTTTGATTTCTATGTTCTTTTTAAGTTTTTTTTTTGTTTTGATTCTTTATTTTTTAATTTTTATTGTCTGTTTTTTTTAGCATTTTAATATTTCCTTTGTTTTTCTTTTTTTTTCTACGGTTTGGTTTTTTTATTTTTTGTTTTGATCATTTGTTTTTTGCATTTTTTTTTCTTAGTTTTTTGCTTTTATTTTTTGTTTTTTGATACTTTTTGCTTTTTTTCCCTTTTAATTTTTTGGCATCTTTCTTTCCTTTTTTTGAGGAATTGTTTTATTTTCTTTTCTTTTGTTTCGTTCTTAAGTTTTTTTGCTTGTTTGCTTTTTTTTTTTACTTTTTTAATTTTTTTTGGTTTTCTTAGTTTTTCTTTTACTTCTTTATTTTTTCCTTTTTTTTCTTTTTTTTATTTTTAATTATCGTTTCTTGAGTGTTTTTCTTGTTTGGTCGATTTTTAAGTTTGTTTTTTTAATTCAACTTTTTATTTTCTATTTTCTATTTTTTCATTTTAATATTTACTTTGTTGTTTTTTTTTTTGGTCTTCGGTTTATTTTATTTTATTTTTTTTGTTTTGATTATTTTTTTCTTTTCATTTTTTTATTGAAATTTTTATTTTTTATGCTTCTTTCTTTATTTCTTTTTTAATTTTTTTTGCATATTTCTTTCGTTTTCTTAGGAATTGTTTTATTTTCTTTTTTTATTTTTTATTTTTTTGCGTTTTTTTTTCCTTTTACTTCTTTATTTTTCCTTTCTTTTTCTTTTAGTTTTTTATTTTCAATTTCTTTTGTTTTCCTTTATTTTTTGGTTTATTTTTATATTTTTCTTTTTATGTTTTTTTTTGTTGTTTTATTTTTTATTTTTTATTATTTTGCATTTTTACATTTGCTTTGTTTTTCTTTTCTTGTTTTTCTTCGGTTTTTTTTTATTTTTTTTCATTATATGTTTTTTATATTGTGGGTTTTTTTTTCTACTGTTAGCTTTTTGGCTTCTTGTTTTTCTTTTTTCGATTTTGTGTGTAATGTTTTTTTTTATTTATTTTTTTATTTTTTAATTATGTTAATGTTATTCACTATTTTTTGATTTTTTCTTTGGCTTTTTGCTTTTTTTCTTTTTTTTTCTTTCACAGTTTTTTTGCTTTCTGGTTTTTTTATTTTTCAATTTTCTTTTCTTCTATTTTTTTTTCCTTTTTTAATTTTTTTATTTTTTTTTCTTTTCTGCTTTATTTTTTTTCTATGTTTTTTTTTTCGCTTAATCTTTTCTTTTTTGATTTTTTCTTTGTTCTGGTATTTTTATTTTTATGTTCGGTTTTTTTAATTGTTTTTTTTATTCTTTTCTATTTCTTTTTTTTTTTTTTGCTTTTTTCTTTTCCATATTTCTTTTTCATTTTATTTTTTTTATTCCCGTCTTTTTAGGTTTTTTTTCCTTCATTTTTGTTTCTTTATTTTTTTATTTTTTATCCAAACCGAAATCCAAGTCCAAAAACCCCTAAACTCTAAACAAAAATATTAATTCATTCTAATAAATACATACAAATAAATTTATGCAAATTAATATTTGAGTGAGATGGGTATGACATGCGGCGTCAATTCTTCGATAGATGCGAGGTGTTGAAGACCCTTGTAGTTGAGAGATTTTAGATACCAAGATAACTGATTTCAAGACGAAAAAGAATGGAGTGATTGCAAATCCCAATGCAAGTGGCCTGCGTTGATTTGTTGCAATCGGTGACGCGAAAGTGATTTTAATTTGGAGAGCAAACCCCCTTTTTGGAGGGAATTCCTAATGCATTCTCTCTGGAAGGGACTTCAATTTTCTGCAATCCAATAACCAAACAATTTCGAGAGCAATCGTAGATTGACAACGAATGAAGGGATGTAAAATCACCAAGAGGTCCCGCGCCCAAAATAAGTGATTCTACATCTTTACAACTCCAGATGCTAAGCTTCTCTAACTTGGGAAACAACTCAACCTGCAAGCACTAAAGTAATTCACATTTACTTATTTTAATTTCTTGTCAAAAAGTCGACATACAAGGAACACTCATTTGCTCCATTCCCTTTGATAAGGAATCTCTATTAACTTCAAGATGCAACTTTCCAGTAGACAATACCCATGCACTTGTACGACTCATGAAACAATAAATGTCAAAGAAATACAAAATAAGTGAGATTGGGAGCCACTGAATTTTAAAACGAAAAGTTTTGGGCATTATTACCTGCGATGCAAGGAGTAGCTGTCAGTTTTCTTTTTCCTTACAAAACCTTGCTTTCTTCTCCCTAATACCTGCAGATTGTTAGAATGGATAAAACCGATTAGCATAAAAATAAACCCAAAATAACAGTTCTTTATGCAAGCCCAGGAAATGCGACGTACGTGGCAACATGCACAGTGAACTTTCCCTGTCCAAAATCATTCAAAGTTCTCTACCTTTGATGCTGAGATATACCTCCATGCAATGTCGCGGAAGCTATGCTGTGTATCAATGCCATAGAGACTTCATCACCATCTCGTTTGGTCTGACTGAAAATAATATTCTCCTCGCCCTTTGCATAGACCTAAATATAATGGCGAAGTTCTCTGTACTTTAGGAACAATAGTTATCTCTCATTCTGACATCACTTGGACCAGTAATGAATTACATTATCACGACAGTAATTCATAATGACCGAAACAATAATGCATTCAATAGTAAAAAAATGACTAACAATCTAAATATGTTATTATACAAGACAAAAGCTAGGAGTCTATTTAAGAAGTCCTTACATCGTTTGAAAAATAACTCGCACCACATCCACCTCGCTTGTCTTCCACGTCAAGGGAACGATTGGAGTCGCCTAATGTACGTCATCACCCAGATTTCGACACATTTCTTTGGTTTGGTTAAAATGTAAGTACACTAAACATCCAAAAAAACTTTATGAATTTAAGATGCATGACGCTGTTTAATTATGAGAGCTAGAAGGGAGAGAAAGAAGCATGAAGTGAGGCGAAGGAGAACCTGGAGCTGGAGGTAGAGAAGAAGCTGTAGTTGGTAAAGAGATCAAAGTTATTGAACATCAAAAGAGAGCTCTGCAATTAGAATTGAAAATAACAAGTAATAGAAAATGAAGATGGTGACCAAGTTGGTCATAGACCAGATCGAATAAGGAGATAAGTAGGGCATGTATGAATAAGAGATATGAAGTGTTTTTTTAATGGTAAAAGAGAGGAGACAGATGGATGTTTATTTGAATTTGGAATTCAGGAGAAGAAGGTTCGTGGGCGGGATATTTGGGCGGGATAGTTGGGACTTGGGTGGATGTAGATGTGACGGCATGAAGTGAAGGCATGCAGTTGTCTACCTCGACGATGGCAATGTAGCGCTGGCAAACACTCTACTGTAAGGGATCAGGCACGCAAGGTATCTAAATGAATTTGAAATATCATTTACTTCATTTTCACACGTGTAGACACTTCCATGCTTAATAGACCCACCCATACTGAAAAAGTTATAGGCCAGCCATTGTAGATGATGACTAGGTTACCGCTCTCTGAACCCACTGTGCCTTGTGGGGTGGGTGGTGAGGTGGTGCTTATCCATCCGACCCTCTTTTATTACGGAGGATGACTAACTTAGTTACAGTTTATAAAATGCTAAGGGTGTCTTTAAGACACTTAACTCATCGTTAAATACTACGTAATAGACCAATTGAATTTCAAAATTTTCATCTGAACACTTTCCCGAGGTAGTAATCATAATGTTTTATTACTATAGATGAATTTTAATTTCTGAATTACATTCTTATAATATTTCAAAAAATTTAATAACATTTATTTTTACTCATAAAAAAGTAATGCCATTCATTAAGTCAGAATTCAACAAATAAAACCATATAATTTATTGGGTTTATAATGCAATATTTTTTGGATCTGTCGTATTTGTTTGATTGTTATAATATTTAAATACTAATAATAACTATAAATAAATAATATCTTAACGATTTCTTTCAATCTATCAAACCCCGCAACATATTATTATGTAATATTTTTTCCACTTTTATTTCCGTTGCTTCACTTTGCAAATTCAAACCATTAGCACATTTAACCATAGTGTCAAGCCGATTGTGTCATGCATGATCAAGTCTCAAGCTAGCCAACCAATTTTCAACGTATAAAAATCGAGCCTCCTTTTATGTCGTGCAAGTGGCAATGATGTTTCCTACTGGCGGTCATGCCAAGCACGTTCCACCATCATTGGAAAAATACAAAGTTTTCTTGTACAAGTTATGAAAATTAATTCCTCACAGGTTCATCCTATAAAAAATAAAAAGTAAAAAAATCAACGGAGTTAGAATTATTTTAACAATTATAATAACCCATGCATAAAGGTATTATGGGCGAAATAATTGACCAATGATGTTTAATTAATTTTTTAAAAGATGAATTAATCATCCTGCTTCTTATAAATTAATTGGGCAGTCCTATTTGTTTTACAAACAACTTATTTAGCTTTTATATTTTAAAATTTTCTTATAATTTAATTATTTTTATTTTTTATTTTATTTTAATTTTTTATTTTAAGAAAGTAGAATAAATAAAATTATGTTAATATATATATACTAAAATGGGTCATTTATGATCGAATAAAGGATAAGGTTTAACTTCTTATTTTTGTAATTTGCTTATTCTATTTTTTTTATTTTAAACATTTTTATTTGGTTAATTTTTGAATTTATTTGTTTACAGTATAAGAGGATGTCAAGGGTTTACATCATTTTATTATTATTAAAAAAAATACTATTATGCATTACTTTGTGACCATCTGAATTAAAAACAAATTGAATCAAGCAATTCGTATAAAACTTAAAAAGACAGTCAACAGGGTAATTTATCTTTATTTTAAAGTCTAAGTTAAACGGCTAAAATTACTAATTCTGAGGGCGGAAGCGTCGCTTAGGTAAGGATTCCACACCCTTATGGCCCTAAATGCTGAATTTTTAAAGTGATTGTAATTTGAAGGGGTGACAAGACTCAATTTCTGCACAAAAAGATATACTCAAACCGTCAAGGAAGAAGGGAATGCATGCTCCCAAGCAATGACTGCAACCTTGAGCAATGATTTCTACGCCGCCCAAATCCTGTGTAAACACACGTTGCCATCTTTTCCTACCAAACATACTTTTTTCTTGAGTTCTGTGTCACGATTTATTGGTTTGCTGAAATAATAAAAAGGCTCCTTGACGAGAACTAGTAAAATATCTTCAATAATGCTTAGATATGCGTGTCTGTTGGCCATTTCTTTTTCAACATTCATGCAGATCAGTATTTTCATATGTTTTATATCCTGACAAGATTTTCTTTTTATAGGTATTATTCTTGACTAGGTATTTTCATATTTTTTTATCCATGACAAGTTTTTTTTTTTTTCGATAGGGATTATCCTTTGACCATAACTTAGTAAGATAGCTTCAGTACTGCTTAAGAATGCGTTTCTTATGGCCACTTCTTTTTCAACGTTCATACAACTAGTATTTTTACATGTTTTGTATCCCTAACAAGTTTTTCTGTTCTTTTTCCTTTTTTTTATTTTGCATAGGGATTATCCTTTACTACAACTTATTAAGATAACGTCAGTAATGCTTAAGTATGCATGTTTCATGGTGCATATATATATATATATATATATATATATATATATATATATATATATATATATTTTTTTTTTTTTTTTTTTTTTTTTCGTCGTGTGCATGTGTGTACTGTAGTAAAACAATACCCATGAAAAATAACGAGGGCTAAAATACAAAATCTTTCCCCTTGTTTGGATAGAGAGAAAAGTGGGGGAGAGGAAAGAAATGTTTTCCTCCGTTTGGTTAGGAGAGGAAAGCAATGGAAAGAAAAAAATAATAAAAAAACGTATTTTAAGTGGGACTCATTTTCCTCCCAAAATTGGGAGGAAATGGAAGGAAAACGTGGTACTTCATTCTTTTTTTTGTGATCACGTTTTTGCCCTCTACCTCCGAGTCGTCCCTCTCCTTTGTAAACCGCTGCGGAAACGAAACAAATCTGCAAATCAACACGAGTTTTCCTTCTTCACTCTTCTTGTTCTCCTCTTCTTTTTCGTCTTCTACTCTGCTTCTTCTTTGTTTTTTTTTCTTTTTTTTAATATTTAATAGTTTCTCCTTCTACTTGTATTTCGTTTCTATTTTCTTCTTCAAACTCTCTCTCTCTTATATATATATATATATCAAATCCGCTTTGTGAACCATTGAATTTCAATTTGATAGCAACAGAGAGTAATTTACTCAAATCGACCAACAATACCTTGTTCCTTGGCTCGCCCCAATCTCATTTCCAAGGTTAGTACTTCATTTATCTCGTTGTCGCTTGAATCGATTCCTTCCAAGTATTTCAATTTTTCGTTTCGTTTCGAGAGAAATAAACTTGAAATTTGTTTGAAGCGACCAAAACCCACTTGTTAATTTGTGTTGAGGATGGGAAGGTAAACTAAAAACTTTTGGAATATCGTTTGTGATTGTTGTAGAACTTGGCTATGGACATCAACAAAGAAAACTATGAATTGGGTCTCCCGGTGATTCGAAAAGTTGGTGTTGCACACAAGATTGATTTCAAGGAAGGCCATGCTGCGCCAGTTCTTGATCAAATGATTGAAGATGTAAGAAATATTCTATGCTTGACAAAAAAATAAAAATGGAAAAAGGAAAAACTTCCTTGTTTGATTACTTGTACGAGAAAAAGAAATATTGCTCGTTTTTTCAATTTGAGATATTAAAATGTTACTAAGCTTACTATTCTACGTAGGAAACGACGGGGCAAATACCATGGGACTTTTGACTTCATCTTTGTGCACCACTCGATGCACCAATGAGGAAGTATGTGAGATCTTACGGGGACTTTGTTTTGGAGCCAAATAAGCGTTTCGGTTGAGCTTTTTGATAAATTTCATGGTGAAATTTGAAGAATTGAGTTTTGTACTAATACTACATGTTTTTTAAGATTAAATAGATTTTCTTAAATAAAAATGCAATGTATTTTTAAATTTATCGCCTGTCAAAATAATTAAATAATTTTATTTGCAAAAACAAGGAAGATTTAAAATACTCCCAAACCGAACTTCACAACAACCCAAAAAAAACCCCAAAAAAGATAATAATACATGTTATACATATTTAAATTAATTTTATATTGATAATTAATCTAAATTGGCTATTGGATTAATTAATTAATAAACGATTATCGATTATTCTATGGAGACGATTCATTATCTTTCTTATCATTTCAGATATATGCTACATGCTAGATTTTTATTTTATTATTATTTGTGTTATTTTCATGAAAAAAATATTCATACAAATTTATTATAAGTATTTAAATATAGAAATATAATCACAAGGGTATTATAGTAAATATACAATCATACATTTTCTTTCCTTCCTCTTCCAAACAAAGGAA